TGAATACCTCAGACAGCAGAAACCTGAGAAAGAAGAAGAGCAATCATGGAAGCACAGGCGCCAACACAGTATGCACCACTGGCAGATAGAAGAAGTGGCTTACATCGAGAAATCCTACCAATGGGTGCACAAAGCTGGACTGATAGACAGCACATAGGCACCAATCATGGCCACCAGGAATGAGCTGTAACCACAAAATCAATAGAGACAGGGTGCAAGATGCAGCAGACAGGGCATACATGGGACGCCTTAACCAAGTGGCTGGCGTAGTGTGCAGGAAGATCTGTGCTAGTCAAAGATGATGACTAGCACATCATCTGTGTTGATGAAGCGCTGATGTCAAAATGGGATAAGCCCTCCAGGGTTGAGAATGCCTGAGCTAAGATACTGTGGGACTTCTAGATATAGATGGACAAACTCGTGATGGATATAAAAGTGGTGGACAAGCAGAGTAAGTGGACCCAAGACGAGGGCGCTAAGCAAATACAGTGTGCACAAAACGATGGTTTAATAAAACTGGTGAGTTATCTACCTAATGAAAGTGGTTGTTAATCTCAGATACCATCAGTATGCTATCGAAGGATAAATGTAGATTTTGTAAAATGAAAATTCTACATAGACCTTAACCCCGTCAGGCAGATCATTAACAAGACTGCCTACCTATACCGACTACGGAAATGGTGCAATTATAAGCCACCCCCTCTGCATGGATGACATCAGGGTGTATGCCAGGACTGAACAAGACATTGACTCACTAATCCACACCACTAGGATCTGCAGCAATGACATCGCCACTAATAATAATTCACATTAGCAGTAATGACATCTGGTTACGTCATATGGAGGTCACAAAAATTTAAACTCGATCGGTATTGTCAAAACAATGCCAGACTGTAGTTTTCTCAGGTCTCATCCCCAATCAGACCCGGAAGGACATGTTTAGCAGCATGTTCTTGTTAACCTCTTAAACCCATGGGTTTTCTGCTTGAAAAAAAAGACATGCTTAACCTCCTAAGACCCAAACTCTTTCATGGCATTCATTTTTAATTTTTCTTTGCTATTTGGGTTGATTGGGACCTAAAGAGTGTAAAAACAAAGAATTACCTTTTTTTTTTTAAACTAATTTTTGTTTATGAAAAAAATGAGATCCACATATGAGGACATTTGTTTCAACTTTTGATAGAACAGTGGCAGTATAATGTCCTCGTAAGTGAATATCAGGAGCTTGTAGAGAAAAATTAAGTATTTTGGTCTAGACGTCCCAAAATGTGATGTCCACATATGTGGACGGCAGGTCCTAGGAGGTTAAAATGAATTGATTATTTCTCTGCAATTAAACTCTGTAAACTATCTTGGTGTCAAAATAAAGCTAACACCTGTAAGACTTAGTCATAGGTGTGAGCATCACAGCAGATGCCAATGTGTCAAAGTACCTGAAAATATGCAACAGTAGACCAAAAACTGATGAAAACCATGAATTGGCAAACTTCAAAACCCACTGTGTTAAACGACCTACAGTAGCAACATTCGATGTTACTAATCAGATTTATTTTATAAAACAGTAGCTATTGCATGCAATAAACTGTATGCTTTACAGATGAAAGTCACAGGAAATAGAAAATACTTTGTTTTTCTATTAATGTTACATGTTTATACCAACAAATATGAGCTCCTGTCAGAGTAAGCAGTTTTGATTAGCCAACGTCTAAATTGTTCAAGACTTGTGCAATTAAAAACAACCCCCCCCCCCCCCCCCCCCCAACAAACAAACGAGCAAACAAAAAAAACCACACTACTATTCAGACTCCATGTTGTGAAAATATTTATGAATGCATTGTTTGATTGTTAGCTGCACCCCTTTGAAGGGCTCTGTAATTCCTCTGAGCAGCTCCGGCAGCTTCCTTCAACAGGCATTATGGCTCCAGAAGGTATTATATGGGTGGAAGGATGACTTAAGTAGCATATTTTCCACCTGTGTCATGATCACATCTATCCTATAAATGCCGTTGCATTTTAAGATACACTAAACAATGACTAAAGTGTTGTATTAACTGATTTCTTCCTTTCTGATTTATTTTGGTGTATTACATTCAAATATTTCATAAAATGTAAATAGAACCTAAGTAAATGTAAAATTAGATCCTTTTGCAATCTTTTTATAATTCAACTGACTAAAAGAAGAAACATTTTAGATTGAGTCCTTCATTTATTTAAGGGTTGCAAAGTTTTTAAAGCCTGACCACTCTTCATTAACTGCCTCTCAGTCAAAAGTGCTGAAAACAAGAATCATATGGCATATTTTTGCTTAATTAATGACATAATTATCTGTGCATGCAATTTACATAGAAAACAAGGGAAGTTCATAATGGGTATGATGATGTTGGTTAGATTGACTCACTGAATTCCAGCTTTTATACCAACTTTATAGAAACCAAGTTTTGGGAAATCAATCAAACATCTCATACAACACCTGGTTATACCTTTTGAATTCAGCTGGCAAACCCAGCAGTGAGCCTAAGTAATGCTTGGGTCATGCTTGTTCCTGAATCTGTGTTGGAATTTGCTGTCCTGTGATGTTTGGCTGCTGAATACTTTGTCTTAGCACCTTTACAACGTCTGTGCAACTAATAAGCTAGTTAAAAGTGAACTTGTTTAAACCAGTCCAGCTCCAAGTAACAATAAGAAAGGCGTCATAACCACTGAGCAGGACTCAAAGGTGAGACTCAGGTTGCCAGTTCAGTGAATTTATTTACAGTGAAGTGCAGGTACTATTTACAGTGTCTATCAAATAGGGAAAACAATCCAGAGCCTCTATATACAATAATGCAAACAGGTGGTCTTGTAGAGTTATTCTCAAAGCACAACCATGAAACAGACTCCTTTCCAAACTCTCTCAACAGAATCCTTCACGAGACAAACGGATCAGGCTCCTGGATGGAAGAGAGAATGAGGGAGCAGAAAGGGAACAACAAAAAAACATGTAAGCAGACAGAGGTGAATATTAACCATAACCAGTTTAACACTAAAGCCATGACTGTAGGAGCATCCTCTGTATTTAAAGTGTGCCAGCTGAGCACCAAATGACAAACAGGTGAGTTGATTACTGATTGATTAATTACTAATTAAAGCCCTTGAAAATGTGACTGTCTCTCTCTTGAAAATCTCTGTTGATAGTGATTTAATAATTGATCAACATATTGACTTACTTTTACTTAAAGACAGCTGGTTACAGCAGGATGATCATGTTAATGTGACTTGCAGGTGATGATTAATTTAAACTAACTTTCATTATCCTGGAAGGACAGGCCGTGGGCGGGGAGTGGCACTCAACCTTAGACCCAGACAGAATTTTTATTCATTTAAAAGCCTAACTCTAAGCCTTGCCGAAATCTCTGATTTCTCAGACTTTGTCTGATTTAGTGATCAGCTCAGACAAAATAATTATGCTTTTAACATCCATGTAGTTGCTGAAAATGACAACCTCAACACTGGATGTAATCTCTTATTAGACTCACTTGGATTCTCTCCAAATGTAAAAAAGCCAACCCTCACCTTCATTACACTCTGGGTTTTGTTCCGACAGACAGCATACAAACTGAACGTTTAACAGTATTCCCTGAAAACCTTTTTTTGTTTGATCATTTCCCAATTTTACAACAGTAGAGAATACATGTCATTACAGTAAATAACAGTATTGATAGGTCTGTGTAGCACAGGCCTACTGCTGGAACACCAAGACAATTCTACTACAACAGGGCTGGACTGGCCTTGGCCTGGTTGATTTTCTTGAAGGACATTGGGCTAATCCAATGAAATCTCTCAGCCCTCTTCGGCTCGTCCCCCCTCCCCTTTTTAACTAAGGTTATCAAATTTTGCCACTTGAGCTGACCAGAGTTGGACAGGAGTGGTTATGGACAATCCAAATGAGGGTGCAGGAAAGCTCAATGAAAAAAGGTAAAAAGGCCTTTAGGTGGATGCAGTGAAATGCACAAAACTTACCTATATGTTTGCCACCACAAGCTCTGCAGCAGCTGGTGCAGGACTGGAGGGGGAGGAGGCAGAATTAGCGATTCAGGGAGATAAGTCAGAGGTGGGAGATCGACTCTACTTGTGGCCCAAATATCGATGTAAAGAAATATAATGCAATTTGGTCATTGAAGTGACTTTTTTGTTAGGAAGGATTTGTTTGTTGTTGAATTCAGTGTTAAAATACGTTCTTTAAAAAGTAAAACATTATTTAATACCTCTCCGTGAATCGCTACCTTATCGTGGTGGAGGGGTTTGTGTGTCCCAGGGATCCCAGGGGCTATGTTGTCTGGGGGCTTTTGCCCCTGGCAGGGTCTCCTATGGCAAATTGGTCCTGGGTGAGGGACCAGACAAAGAGCGATTCAGAAGACCCTTATGTGAAAAACATCGAGGGAACAGTTTACCCTGCCCGGGATAGGGTTACCGGGGCCCCGCCCTGGAGCCAGGCCCGGGGAGGGTACCTGAGGGCGAGCGTCTGGTGGTCGGGCCTTAGTCCATGGGGCCCGGCCGGGCACAGCCCGAAAAGGGGACATGGGCCCATCCTCCTGCAGGCCCACCACCCGCAGGAGGTGCCGGCGGCCAGGGGCGGAGGCCCTGGCGGACTTATCCCCAGCTGCCAAGACTGGCAATTGGGACATGGAATGTCACCTCTCTGGTGGGGAAGGAGCCTGAGTTAGTGCGTGAGGTTGAGAGGTACCGGCTAGATATAATCGGGCTCACCTCTATGCATGGCTTGGGCTCTGGAACCAGTCTCCTGGAGAGGGGCTGGACTCTGTCTCAGTCTGGAGTTGCCCCTGGTGAGAGGCGGCAGGCTGGGTTGGGTATTCTAATATGCCCTCGGCTTGCTGCCGGTACGTTGGGGTTTTTCCCGGTGAATGAGAGGGTTTGTTCCCTGCGCCTTAGGTTCGGGCCACAGTTTGGCCATGTTACGTCTGGTTCGGTTTGGGTAAGACGGAAAAACAGCCGAGTCCGTGTAGGTGACAAACATAGTGATTTTATTGCACACTTCTAAGACAGAAGCATGGGAAGACAAGCGTACAGCCACAGATCTCCAAAGAGTGGACCGCTCCCCATCCTTATATAACCCATGATCCCATGATGACGTAACACAGTCAGACCTTACTGGAAATGATAACAGTTTTGGGCCTGTTCAGAGAGTTTACCTAATATGGACATCAACTGCTAGTTGTTAGAGAAAACAAGTGTGTATTACATTCGTGCCTTTTGTGAAAGTATATCTGTCAGAAAACTGTCCTCAGACAACCCTCCTATTCTTACTAAGGGTGTGTGTACACATTCATGTGTTGTATAAGAGCGTGCATGTACTTTCAAGGCCTGTGTACGTGCAGAACGGAACATAGAACCAAGGCAGGGTCCAGCAGGCCCCACAGGCTTCTGAGTGATTACAGAACTGTGAAACAGCTTTAAGCAAATAACATGAGTAGTACAGAACAACAATAGACTGATTAGAGTACTGATAATCTGTGTAGATTAATGTTAACCTAGATATGGTTCAAAGATTATTCTGTCAACTGGTTCAACAATGGTAAATGATTAATGATTGATACTTCTGATTATAACTGTGATCATAAGAATACAAAATAAAATATCTCCTGGTCACATTCCTCCTCTTTGGGCTGGCTTGCCAGCCCAACTCACACCAGGATTTATTACCAAACCAAACAAACACGTTATGACACTTATCAATCCCAACACCTCCGTTGTTTTCCAAATTTCCCACAACCCAGCTGTTCTTTTAGCTTCGGACTCGAGTTTCAGCCTGACACGCTTCAGGCCCCTTTACCACCTCCTCTTGGAGTGAAGAAACGCCCTCGGATTCTTCTTTCTTCGACTTCCGGGGTTAGACCACCCTTCAGTCGCTACACAAATCTGTGTGTTTGTTGTCCGTTGTGACCGCCGTGTCCCCCTTTTTGCCAAAAGCCTCTCGAACCACGTTGGTCTCTGGTGTTCCTAGGTTTCGCCAACCCCTTCCTGGTTATCGCTTGTGGTTATGGGATCCATCTTATCAAGGAGCCCCAAGGCCATGACACTTGACCCCAGTTGCTGTGAAGGGTCCCCATATCTCCGTGTCCCCGTCTGGTGTTTGTTCCCTTCTCTGCAAGAGACAGAAAGCCAACACCTCTCCTGCGCTGGCTCTCCTAACCTAATGTCGTTGACTTTGTTTATTCCAATCCTATGCCATGCTTATGTGTGTAAGCGGGCATGCATTTAACCCTCTGCACGTGAAGTCAATAGCACCAATATATCAATCCGATCCGTTGTCGGATGAAGCTTTTGACCTTCCCAGACTACGTGCCAGCTCCTTATAAGCACATTTGCAAGGTGTGTATAAAAACGAACAACAGACCTCAAACAAATTGGGCATTCTCAATTCTAACATGAGTGTAGTCCTCAGTTTCTGATCATCTAATTATGCTTCTCACTCGTTCCCTAAATTGTCTAGAAACCTTTAATTTTGCCATACCTAAATTATTAAAACACAGACCAAATGATATACCCCCTATATAGCTTTTACCTTTATGAGCACACTTCAATAATGAGCAACAACCTGCAATCTGTACCAAAAAATCTTCATGGTCCCACCTGCAATTAAAGATCAGATGCATTTTATACCTGTTTTAATTCCTCCTTATATAGAACCTCCTCAGTTTCAGGTTAGTAGCGATTAGTCTCAATCAATCGTTCTAGTTGTATTTTGCAATTCAGCTAAAAAGCAAACCTGTTAAAGTAAACAGCTTATTTACAACCACCTGCAAATCATAAGAGTAATAAACGATTCAGCACAACAGACAAGTATCATGTTCAGGATTTCTCCAATCATTAAACCACTATTATTGCCAGAATTTGCTTTATTCACCCTTTGGGCAATGTTATTCCAAGAGAGAGAGAGCCCCTAATGGCCAGTTAGTGGGCTCTAGGTTAACCTGTCCCCAAATTTGTTATTTGTTATTATTACTTGTTTTCATGTCACTTGTCTGTTTTCTACTGCACCCCTCTCACCAAAGCAAAGCAAACATCAGCAGCACATTGACCGTAGTCAGCCATCCTCATTCCATAGGTGCTATAAAAACATTTCCTGTAAAAGAATCACAGTTTTCAAGACAGGGTGTGTCTCCCCCAACACTCTCACCAGAATACAGTGTAATAACATCCCCCACTCCTAACCCATAAACACCGTTTCTTCACACATCCGCCCAGAAATCCTGTAATAGAAAAACATTAAAACTGTAACCCTGTAGGGAAGAAAATGTAAATGGTAACGCTGCGCAGTTACCTCTGTAAGCAACACAAGACACAAAAATGGCATTTACAGGTTCACTCATCCTCGAATATTTTGTCATCCTTCTACTCCTGTAAAAGAAACACACATAAATTCATCCACCCTTTTATCCTATCTAGGTGGAGGTGGTTAACCTTGAGTCATGGTCAAGTCTTGTCATCTTTTACCAGTCAGTCCGTTTGTTTTTATTTCCAGTCTTTCATCCATTCTTTCTTTCTTTGCTGATAGTGAAACCTGTCGTCGCATTTAGTTTCCACACTCAGCAAAATGACGTCATCTCAAAAAGAAAACAAGAACTTGAATTTGGATTACCTCGCTGAATCCTTTTTTAAACAGGGACTCTCGTTTCTAATTGTCCCCACAAGTGTTTCCTCCAGAACCCATTTCAATGCGGAGAAACTCACTTACAACAATTTTCTCGCCGACGTGTAATGCTTGTAATTTCCGATGTGCAGATCTGCTTAAAGAAAAGATTCACAAACAAAAATCAGTGCACTGTTCAAAATATAAAACAAAATAAAATGAAAAATAACAAAAACAAAATGCAGACGCCCGGGTCTTAGGACTTGTCACTGAATATTCCTCCCATCAATAAAAATACCAAACCTAAACCTACACAGAGTCAAATCAACACCACTGCAACCTTTTCATATTCATAAACCTATATGTTTTGCGTTCGTGAAACAAAATTGAACCATTAAGTAATTTGAGCTCTTGAAATGTTTTAATTCTCTTAATTCTGCCAGTTTATTTCAACACTTATTCAATGACTTTTATTCAACTGCTACTTGGTCACTCGAATTTTACCTGTTCAAATTGCCTAGGGTTCAACAAAGTCTAGATCCCCGTTATCATGAAACTCGAACGGGTGTACGATGATTTACTTACAGTAATTTAGAATCATCACTCAACCTAGCTCTACTACTGGCACTGCGTGACTTTTTTCCCACTGGAAACCAGAATTTAGTACAGAACTTTAATGCCTCAGGCAATCGTGCTCAAGGGCTGTCCCCCCTTCTCTTCTTCTTTGTCCGTGTGTTCCTCCTTTATTAAATCTCCATCACAATGACGTGGCGCTCTGAAATAAAACTCACACTGTTAATTCCTCGTTTTCACTCTGCACCACTGCTCAGAGTGTTTTCTTTTCTTTTTAGTGTACAGTAAACAATTAAGTCGAGGCCTTAAGCCCCAGATATCTCGCACGGGCATCGTCTTCATAACCAAACCGCTCCGGACTCTGCTCCCCAGACCACACAAATGCCCTCTGGGCTTATTATTATAGCAAATTCTGTATTTGACGTTGTCGTGTGCAGCATTGAGCCTTTGTCAGTAAAGCATTCTTCATTGCAGCAGCTGGAGCATTGTGTGTCACTTCTTAGTAAATTAAATCAACATTTTGATTTTAGTGCATGGGTATGTATCAGTTTTTACTCCCTTAGCGAGTGCATAAGTGTTCATGTGTGTGTTTCTCTTCATTCTAAGTCGGCGCATGCAGAAGTGTGTATTCGTGTGTTGGTGTATGTTTGTGTTCATCACCTTCCTGTTCTGTAGTTTAGGTAAACCAGCGGCCTGACGCATGGCCTAGGGTCCTCCCCTCCTCTTTGGGTCTGTTTTCATCCGTTGTTGCAGCTGCCTGCATCTTCTCCTTGTAACTTGACCCTTTTGCTTCTGTATGGTCTTTCAGGGTTTACTCCTGCTGTTGGAGCTTTGCGTCAAGTCTGACGACCTCCTGCTCCAGCAAGCTTCCGCCTGATTACAAGTCCTGTACGTGAAACTCCAAGTCTGACTGATGAGTTCAATTAGCAGCCAGCTCCTCCGGAGCCATGCTCAATTTCTGTTCTGATGCCTTGAGCTCTTACTGAGGGCAAACACCTCAGAGTCTTTTCCTTCCACGTCAGATTGGAGTTTGTTTATGTTGTCCTTACTCTGCTCCACGGCCTTCTGCAGCTCTTCCGTTCGGCTCTTCTCAGAGGTCAGCATTCTTCTGCTCACCCTCCCTTTTCCTCCGGGCTTAATGCGCGTCTCGTCACAGCTCTGTCAGCTGACGCAGCCTGGGAATTTCCCCCGTGTAGTGAAACGGGCGTTAGGTTTAGTGCTCTCCGTCTCTGCTGCATGAGATCGCTCTTTTGCAGCACTGTTGACATCCTCAAGTTGTTGTTGTGAGTCCAGCTGCTGTGGCCTTCAGGGGTCAAAGGGTCAAAGATGGTCAATGGTAGAGGGGAGGGTAGGAGTCCAGGTCAGCTTCGGCTTTCAGAAAAAACAAAAACAAAACAAAACAGGCGAACAGGAAAATGATGTTGTGTTGGCTGTGCTGTGTTAGCTGGTCCTCTCCCCCCTTTTTTGTTTTTTTTTTTTTTTTTTTTTTTTTTTTTGAGGTTACACTTTATTGTTCCCTTAGGAAAATTTCAAAACAATCGTTTCCACTGAATATTTGCATCACCTGCACAACAACTTGGAGATGGATAATGATCCAGGAAAGATCCAAACACATCTCTCATAAGTCAGTAAAACAAGAACAAAGTTACTGATTTAAGCATAGATATGGATCTTTATCTCTTTTATTGTTGATTTCTTAGTAAAAGCTAAATGCAAAGTATAAACATATTGCAAATAAGGTAGATTAAATTAAAAAAAAAAAACGGAACAAAACACTTTCCCCATACAGCTACAGAAAATCATATCATCCAAAGCTCTAGTGGAATTCACAAACATTCACGTCTTAACATTCTGCAGTCAGAATGCGTCAAGTGTTAACATATGCAAATCAGCCAAAGCAGAAGCCTACTCTATGTGTTATATGGTGTTTTTTATGTTTTTGTCATAAAAAATGATAATCACATACATTTGAACAGATGTAAATGTTGTATGAAGTTCAAGCACAAACCCGCTGCTATCAAGAACACACAGCAACTTGCAACAAGTGAACTGGCCAGCTTCAAGCCACTTCATGGAATCTCTCCTGCCATGTGGTCTACAGCCGTGGCTGTCAGTGCCACCACTCTTATGAATTTTTCTGGCTCCAAACAAACTGACAGAACCATTTCCTGCTTTAACTCTCGCGCTCATGCTGGGAATCAGATGAAACTTTTACATTGCTCTCTTTAGACAGTAAAACAGGAACAACACCTTCAGCTGTTTTGTTAAGAATGCAGTAATCACTACAGTAACATGGTGCTAGAGTCTCAACAACAGGACTGCTTGGTAAACTGCACTCTGGGCTTTGTGTCACATCCTCAAAGCTGCAGCCAGAGTCAACACAGCTGATATCCAGGACATCTTCAGGTGGAGAGGAGGCAATCTCTGCCTCCCTGCCCCTCTCCCAGACGGAGCAGGGGAGCTGAGTATAAGAGGTGTTAGCTGGACAGACCATAGCTATAGGAGCAGGAGCCATATCCATCCCAGGCAGGCCAACGTAGGAGGTCTGGCACTGAGGGAATGCCAGCTGAATCACTGGAGGGTTTAGGAAGGTCTGGGTCTCTTCTGGGTCCTTCGTGTTGGGTTTTGGCACAACAGCCACTCTATCACTTATCATGCCCTCATCGGCTTTGTGCATTAGTACATTTTTACCTTTCGGAGAAAGCCATTCCTGGAGATCACCTTTATGTTGCTGATACAGAGGCTGAAAGAAAGGAGCCGGGGATGGCGTGTGGGACAGAGTTTTTATCTTCATCCTTGCAGCTGGACTGTAGAATACAAACAGCAGAGCTCCCAAAACCAGACACAGTGGGAACAGATATTTGGCCAATAATAATAATAAAGTTTCTGGTTCTTCTTCTGCTTTGTTTTCCCAGCATGTTGGTTGACTCCATTCACTCCAAGTTTCACTATATGTTTGAGGTCTATATCTTGCTTTAATGCAATATTCACTATTTTTCAGGTGCAATTTCCGATTAATAGATTCAAACTTCTTTTGGGGTGGAACCGTAAAAGTTTTGTTCTCACTGCTTTCAGGTGTTTGAAGTAATATTTCATACATGAGGTAACCACCAAGGTATAAATGGTTATCATATCGACTTTTAAATGTAATGTTGAGAGTCTCTGTTGTTTCTTGGACCACAAGCTCAGGCGGAGGTTTCAGCTGAATGTGATTTGCTAAATTAAATTCATTTTCTAAATTGATGCATTGAGATTCATCACAAATGTCAATTTCATAGGAATTATAATCCACCCAAAGCTTATTGTTGAGTTGACATTCACAGTAGTAACTGTGATTCATCACCACAAGTGGACAAGAAGGGTTGTGTTCGGAGTTCTCCTTGAAATATAGGCTGTAGTTCGTTTTGTTCTTTCCCAATGGAATAGCAGTGATGTTGTTGAAGACACAAGTAATGTTGTGTATATAGTCAGTCACACACATCCATGACGGTACATCAGCTTCGATCCCGCTGGTCACTGCAAGGATGCCGCAGCACCAAAGCCCAAACAGGAGCTGCCAGCACTTCATGTCTTTTTGAACACAGGTATCGTTCTGTGGATATGAATAAAACATATATGTTTAAAGCCTCTTTGAATTTTGCATTACAATGTATCTACTTCTTCAGTATTATGAAATTTGTACCATTTCATCTATATTACAATTGATTAGAATTTATCTTTTCGTAAACTACACTTGTCATAGGAAAATAACAAATAAAATGCATCAAGTTTATAACTTTTCATAATGAATAAATTCACCAGCTGACATGAGTTCAGTGATATTTTAGTAAATGTGCCATTACCTCAGCTCTGTGGTGCCACTGATGTCTCAGACGGTGAATGAGACATAGAGCTGAGGTTTAAACTTATCAATCACATCACAGGAAGTCTTTTTTTTACGTCATTGGGTTTTTTTTCCCCTCTTGCCTTCTTGGTTTGGGCACGTGCTTTTGATTTAGTTTCATTGTACTAATAAAACTGTTCAGTCTCTGAAGATTATCCGGTTCTTTAAAGTTTTTTTTTTCCCGTGATACAAAACTGTTGGAGGAACATCCAGGAGGAATGTTTAGTAAAAAAAAAAATCCCCAAAATCTGTCACCCGAGCACACCTAAGTTTTCTTGTATTTTCAAAAACTTGAAACAGATGCCATGAAATCCAGATCTGTTCACAACAAAAACAAAACATCACCGCAAGGTTGTTTTGTTTTGTTTTTTTGTATTATTTTTTATGTTTGTGCATGCTCCCCTCAGAGGAGTATCACAGCTACATTTTGACAGGCGTCGCACTGGCAGTTGTTGCGAAAACAAGCGACGGAGTGTCTTTAACCTGCCTAAAACTACATTCTCTCTTTTTTTGTTTTTCCGGGAGGGGTGAGGACAACTCTGGTGTCCAGCCGTGAATTTTAGCCAAAGCTTGGCCTGTCTTCTGCTGCCGTACTCAGGTTTCCAGGTTAAGAAAAAACACCTGTATGAAGACACTAAACATACATTTAGTATTTGTATAAACATAACTGCCTAAATTATTGAACTCTTGAGGAGGGTGGATGTCAGAATCAGAATCAAAATCAAAAACTTTATTGTCATTGTCATGAGACCAACGAAATTAAGAATGGTCCCCGATCATTGCATCATCCCTAGCAATATAAAAATATAAACAAAACAATAAAATTCAATAAATAAAATAGATAGAATACTTAACATACTAAGTATTCCCACAATCATGCTCCAGACCGTGCATAGATTAACACAAGAGTGGCATGGTGGACATTTTTGTAATATTCAGATGTGTTATTGCAGTTGGATAACAGCTGTGTTTGAGTCTATTAGTCCTTACTCTGATTGCCCTGTACCGTCTGTCTTAGGGCAACAGTTCGAACAGGGAGTGGCCAGGATGTGAGGTGTCTTTTATGATGTTTTGGGCCTTTTTAAAACAGTGGGCGTTGTTTGACTCTTTACTAACTTTAAACCCCACCATAACAATTTCTCACTGACAAACTTCTATGCATCCATTTAAACATGCGAAGCCAGCACAAAATCACACACATACCCCTACAGCAAAGCTTTAACATAACCACAATGCAACTCCTCCCTTAAACGGGAGAAATCACCCTAATTCAACCAACTCTATATAAAACGTCAAACAAAGATAAACCACAAACATTTCTACACTTCTGTGTCTTCCACGCAGCACAATAGGCAGAAAAACACCGATTACTCACAGTCTACAACAAAAGAAAAACCTGCTCTTTTCACAACTCTCACAGCTAAAGTCAAAACTCTTACCCAGTGCCTCTGAAATAATAAAAAATCACCAAATACTCGGTTACTCTTTTCACTCGCGCCCTCTCACTCCCTTCTTCCTCATACAGCATACACGCTCGCTCCCGCGGACCCGCTCGGCCCCGCGGGCTCACTCGGCCCCCACCTTTTTTCTCTCACAGAGACAGAGAGAGAGACCCTTTTCCTTTTTTTTATTTCCAGCACACATACACACACAGAATCTCAACTGAGAGAAAGAGGGAGAGAAGAGAAAAGAGTTGTAGAGAGGAAGTTTTTTAGCAGGAGTTTCAGATCTAACAGATTTATACAACTTATTTACACACACCGGTAATTTATAATCTATATACACACGGGCCCGCATAGACGTCATACCAGAAGAGATTACTCCTATCTTTTTTGACTAATTTAAAAGCACCTATAGCCCAGGCCTCGCCTTGCTGGTCAATACACGCCTCGGGAACGCCCTCCCGATAGCGCTCAAATTCCTAAGAAAACACCATATGCCAGAACAACTTTATCTCACTTCTCTATTTCTCTGCTGGTGTTGCTAAATTTTTGACTAATTTAAAAGCATCTTTCAGCCCAGAGCCTCGCTCTTGCTGATCAATTACCCGTCTCAAGTACGCCGCCTTGAAAACGGCCTCATTACTAAGTTCTAGTACTTTAAAACTGCTTCCCCGCCCGGACACCCGGATCTCCACCAGCGGCGTGAATATCCCAGATCACGCTTTTGGCTTTACTTAAAGTTCACAAGCTCCTGACGTTTAAATAGGAGGCAGCCGGTCCGCGACTCTACCTGCCAATTAATGCAGTAGAAGGCAATCACTCATAGATTACCTGGCCATTAAGGGCGTCCCAAGTGCCCCCGGTAGACCAAACCGAGCTTAACCATAACAACGCGTCCGTTGCATGTGGCGTCTGCCAAAACGCTGAACAACTGCATTCCTAGGGGCCGCGCCCCAGTCCTAATCAAATTTACTTATTTTAAAAGCCTCACTGTGGGTACCCTGCCCTCCAGTTTAATTACCTGAGACCCAAAACCGCGTTTTTGCTACTCAATCAAAACCAAATTAACCCTACACTACCGATTGACTGGCTGGCATTGTCAGTCAACCCACATTTAACCTCTTAAACCGTATTTATTTATTTCCACACACCTTAAACCGTATTAACTTAAACACATAACTTCTTAACTCAAAATTCACCCCCAAAATGAACAACAATGAATTTAGTCAGACTACTATGCCCTATTTTACAACTAATTAGTCAAGATCACTATGGACCAACGCCAGAAGCCCAGACTGAGTGAATATTATTTAATTAAATTTAGTTTTAACTTCCAATATAGCGCCTTTGGATAAAAATCAACAGGTGGCACTCACCTTTTCTTATGACGCCTGGCGTCACTCAGACAGGCTGCTGGCCTCCGCCCCTGTTTGTCACCCACACGATAGCTGCAAGCTCCCCTCCTCTCCAACCGGAGTTTCGGCACCAAGTTGTTACGTCTGGTTCGGTTTGGGTAAGACGGAAAAACAGCCGAGTCCGTGTAGGTGACAAACATAGTGATTTTATTGCACACTTCTAAGACAGAAGCATGGGAAGACAAGCGTACAGCCACAGATCTCCAAAGAGTGGACCGCTCCCCATCCTTATATAACCCATGATCCCATGATGACGTAACACAGTCAGACCTTACTGGAAATGATAACAGTTTTGGGCCTGTTCAGAGAGTTTACCTAATATGGACATCAACTGCTAGTTGTTAGAGAAAACAAGTGTGTATTACATTCGTGCCTTTTGTGAAAGTATATCTGTCAGAAAACTGTCCTCAGACAACCCTCCTATTCTTACTAAGGGTGTGTGTACACATTCATGTGTTGTATAAGAGCGTGCATGTACTTTCAAGGCCTGTGTACGTGCAGAACGGAACATAGAACCAAGGCAGGGTCCAGCAGGCCCCACAGGCTTCTGAGTGATTACAGAACTGTGAAACAGCTTTAAGCAAATAACATGAGTAGTACAGAACAACAATAGACTGATTAGAGTACTGATAATCTGTGTAGATTAATGTTAACCTAGATATGGTTCAAAGATTATTCTGTCAACTGGTTCAACAATGGTAAATGATTAATGATTGATACTTCTGATTATAACTGTGATCATAAGAATACAAAATAAAATATCTCCTGGTCACAGCCATAACAAACACCTTGTTCGAACATAAGAGTGTCCATAAGTGCACGTGGCACCAGGACGCTCTAGGCCGCAGGTCAATGATCAATTTTGTAATCATATCACCAGACCTGCGACCATATGTTCTGGACACTCGGGTAAAGAGAGGGGCTGAGCTGTCAACTGATCACCACCTGTGGTGAGTTGGACCAGGTGGCGGGGGAGGACGCTGGACAGACCTGGTGCACCTAAACATGTAGTGAGGGTGTGCTGGGAACATCTAACAGAGGCCCCAGTCCGCGAGATCTTCAACGCACACCTCCGGCAGAGCTTCAACAGCATTCCGAGGGAGACTGGGGACATTGAGTCCGAATGGACCATGTTCAGCGTCTCCATTGCCGAAGCTGCTGCATTGAGCTGCGGCCGCAAGGTGTTTGGTGCCTGCCGTGGTGGTAACCCCCGAACCAAATAGTGGACACCAGAGGTGAAGGGAACCACCAGGCTGAAGAAGGAGTCCTATCGGGCTTGGTTAGCCTGTGGGACTCTGGAGGCAGCTGACAGGTATCGACAGGCTAAGCCGAATGCGGCTCGGGCAGTGGCAGAAGCAAAAACTCGGATGTGGGAGGAGTTCGGAGAGGCCATGGAAAAAGACTTGCAAAAAAAAAAGACTGGTAAACCGTCAGGCATCTCGGGAGGGGAAAGCAGTGGTCTACCTGCACTGTGTATAGTGCTGGCAGAGAGCTGATGACTTCGACTGAGAAAATTGTCAGGCGGTGGAAGGAATACTTCGAGGACCTCCTTAATCCCACTGACACGTCTTCCGAGGAGGAAGCAGAGTCTGGGGATGAGGGGAATGACCCGCCAATTTCCGGAGGCGAGGTCACTGAGGCAGTTAAACAACTCCTTGGTGGCAGAGCCCCTGTTGTTGATGAGGTCCGTTCATAATTTTTATGGACAGGATTTCTAGGCGCAGCCAAGTGGTGGAGGGCTTTCACTTCGGTGGCCTCAGAATCTGATCTCTGCTTTTCGCGGAGGATGTGGTTCTGTTGGCTTCATCGGGTGAGGGCCTCCAGCTCACACTGGAATGGTTCGCAGCCGAGTGTGAAGCAGCAGGAATGAGGATCAGCACCTCCAAATCTGAGGCCATGATTCTCAGCCGGAAAAGGGTGGAGTGCCCACTCCAGGTCGGGGATGAGTTCCTGCCCCAAGTGGAGGAGTTCAAGTATCTTGGGGTCTTGTTCGCAAGTGATGGGAGAAGGGAGCCGGAGATCGACAGACGGATTGGGGCTGCGGCTGCAGTGATGCGGACACTTTACCGGTCCGTCGTGGTGAAGAGGGAGCTGAGTGTAAAAGCGAAGCTCTCAATTTACCGGTCGATCTACGTCCCTACCCTCACCTATGGCCACGAGCTGTGGGTAGTGACCGAAAGAACGAGATCGCGGATACAAGCGGAGGAAATGAGCTTCCTCCGAAGGGTGGCTGGCCTCTCCCTTAGAGATAGGGTGAGAAGTTCAGCCATCCGGGAGGGGCTCAGAGTAGAGCCGCTGCAGCTCCACATCGAAAGGAGCCAGCTGAGGTGGTTCGGGCATCTGACAAGGATGCCCCCTGGGCGCCTCCTGGGTGAGGTGTTCCAGGCATGTCCCACCAGGAGGAGGCCCCGGGGCAGACCCAGGACACGCTGGAGAGATTATATCACTCGGCTGGCCTGGGAACGCCTTGGTATTCCCCCAGATAAGCTGGAGGAGGTGGCTGGGGAGAGGGAGGTCTGGGCTTCTCTGCTTAGGCTGCTGAGCATAGAGTACAAACATGCTGAGGGATTGGCTGTGTTCGTTCAGTAAGAGAGTCAAAAACTAACGTGCACACTTATGTCTGCATTTTTATTTTGTTAAATATGAATACAGTGATAGCAGAAGTGCTGCCATGTGTCAGAAAGAGAGGACCAATGTGTTTATTTGGTAGTTCAATGAAAGGCTTCAGTTAGCTAAGAGTGAGAAAAATAATTTGCATTCACATTTGCGGTTTTGTCTTGTTATACAATATTTTAAATTTCAAAAAACAAACAAAACACGACATTTTTTGAAATATTTGTGGGTGTTTTCTTGTTTGTTTGGGGTTTTTTTGTACTACTTGAACACTAAAGTGGCCCTCACATGAGATGACAGTGTCAGCA